GCCCCCTGGCACCCCTCCACTTCTCCCTGCCCCCCTAGTACCCCTCCCCTGCTCCCTACCCCCTTAGCCCTCCTCCACTGCTCCCTGCCCCCCCATCACCCCTCCCCTGCTCCCTGCCCCCTGGCACCCTTCACTGTTTCCTGTCCCCCTGGCCTCCCTCCACTGTCCCTTCCCCTGAGCTTCTCACTGCCCCCTGCCCCTCAGACCTCCCTGCTGACACCCCCCGCCAGTGTCTTGTGACTTCCCCCCTTTACTATCCCTTGCCCCCCCCCCAGATCCCTTTTTGCCCCCATCTGGCTCCCTGTTGCCCCCTACTCCTATTCTCCCCATCCCGTTGTCCCACCCTCCCCCTGACGCCCCCTCCCGCTCTCCCCAGACATCGGCTACTGCCAGGGCATGACCAACTTTGCCAGCCACTTCCTGGAGACCCTGGACTCAGAGTTTGATGCCTTCTGGTGCTTCGTAAACTGCATGCGACACTGGGGCCCCAGCTTGACCGCCCAGGGTGTGGCCCGCAAGATCCGTGAGCAGCGGGATCCAGGGGGAGGGGGATAGCAGCCCCAGTGCCAGGTCCCGCCAGGGCTGGGCTGAGCACAGTGGGTCAGCCCAGGGGGAGGCGCTGCTGTGAGCCAAGGTGGGTGGGGTAGGGGCTGTGTCACCCTCAGCTGGGATCTTCCCAAGAAGGGCCCTGACTGGTCCATGGCTGGTGGGAGACCTCGAGAGCTGAGAGAAGAGCTTCTGTCAGGGCAGGTAATGGGGTCTAGTGCCTAGAGCAGGGGGTCTGGGAGTCGGGACTCCTGGGTTCTTTTCCTGGCTATGGGAGGGGAGTGGGGTCTAGTGGTTAGCATAGGGGGTGTCTGGGAGTCAGGACTCCTGGGTTCCATTCCCAGCTCTGCCAGTGGCTTGTGGTTTGACTTTGGGGAAATAAACTCATCCGTACAAGGAGGGAGTAATTCCCACTCCCACACCCTTGGTACATTGGCTTGAGATGCTTGGGCAGAAGGATGGGTAAAGGCAACGAATTATTAGGCAGTAGGGGGTGCTCTCCCCTTGCAGTTAGTGCTAGCCCCAGTGTGGCCCCAGGGGGGCGCTGTGCTGCAGGGAGTGGGGCAGGAGCTCAACAGGGGGCACTCTCCCCTTGCAGTCAGTGCTGACTCCAGTGTGTGGGGGCGCCCCCTTTTGGCCGGGATGTACAACTCCACTCCCAGTCACTTGTGACCTTTGAAAATCTCCTGGCTCCTTTTGGCCACCTGGGAGCTAATCCCAATGCCTGGGGCAAACTCCCCTGGGAGCTGCCATTCAGTGCAACATCCTCCCCCTGGTGTGTATATTAAACAGCAGCTGCGCCCCACCCCAGAGGCAGCTGCATTGTGCTGGTTGGAAAGCCCCTCCCTCCCCCAGCTCCATGCGCGGTGGGCAGGGGCTGAGCACTGGCTGTGTGTCCAGCGCAGAGACCACCGAGGAGCTGCTGCGACACGTGGACCCCGAGCTGTACCACCACATCGCCAGGACCTCCAAGGAGAGGCTGCTCTTCTGTCTCAGGTGAGGAGCCCCACAACCCAGGGCTCCCCCGGCTCCGACTGTTTCCTCCAACAGCAGCAGCTCAGGGCCTTGGGGGAGGGGAAGGGGGGTCGCCACCCCCACGGGCAGCACAAGTGGCCTCTATGGGGTTTTGACCTGCGGTGGCATGTGGCTCTCTGTCACCCCCTGGTGGCCAGGTTGTGCCTTGACGCCTGTGAGTCAACTTCCACTAACGCAGCTGGTTGTTTCGCTTCAGGCCTGTAGCGCCAGGAGCTTTTTGACTCCGAGAGCAGGTGAATGGGGCGGCTTGATTCAGGCAGACCAGCCTCTCCATGGAGAGATTTCCAAGACCGCCGGCCTGTTCAATCCAGTAACCAAAGGCAGAGTCGGATCCAGCGGCTGGGAACAGACACTGGACCAACGCAGACCAGAAATAAATTACCA